AGCAGCTGTGGCAGCAGCAGCAGCAGCAGCAGCAGCGGCAGCAGCAGCAGCAGCAGCAGCATCCTCCTACTTCTGCCCCTACGCGAAGTGGGCATTCGCTTGGTCCTGATGCTGATGCTTCGGATGCTGCAGCACTTGCTGCTGAGGAAGCAGCACGCCGCGCGCTTAGCCACTTTTTTAAAGATGCTACATGTGTTAGTTCTGCTGCTGCTGCTGCTGGTGCTGCTGCTGGTTCTACTGCCGCCCGTGCTATCTTGCCCCCAACACAAGCAGCACGTGCACCGCAATGGGAAGACAATGGAGATATATTTCCCCCTCTTTTTCCACCACAACAAACTACTGACGAAGAGTTTGTTCTAGTTGTACTTGATGCTGGCTCTCGTGCTTCTGAGACAGCAGCACTAGTAGCCCTATCCAAATTCTTTAAAGGACCTTCATCTGCTGCCTCTGCTGCTGCTGCAGCGGCAGCATCAGCAGCTGTTGGTAGTATCATTTCAACTTTTCCTGCTGCATCACCAGCAGGAAGGGCAGCGCGTCGTCATAGAGGCCACCATAAACATTCTTCTTCTACTCATGCAGGCTATCAGCAGCAGCGGCAGCAGCAGCAGCAGCAGCAGCAGGAGCGCCGTAGTCAGCAGCAGCAAATGCAGCAGCAAATGCAGCAGCAAATGCAGCAGCAAATGCAGCAGCAAATGCAGCAGCTGCAATTGCAGCAGCAGCAACGACAGCAGCAGCAAAAAAAGCCGGTGCCCCGCCCACCTCCGGGGTTTGAATCTATGTATCCAGATTCAAAACCCTCTCCTGCACTTGCTGCAGCAGCAGCAGCAGCAGCAGCAGCAGCAGCAGCAGCAAGTCCGCCCTCCGGTCAGCGGATGCAACAGCCACCCCACAGCAGCAAAACGAGTGATTTGCAGCTGCCTAGTGATCTGGTTGCTCCCTTCGGTAGCAGCAGCAGCATCTGGAGCACCAGCAGCAGCAGCAGCAGCAGCAGAGTAGCACCACCAAGAACATCTGCTGGGTGGCCTCAGGATGGTGATGGAGGCGAGGGCAGCTATCCGCGTGACCCGTTCTCTGATCTTCTAGCATCATCAGCAGACAGCAGCAGCAGCAGCAGCCGAGGCTGGGGGGGAGACAGCAGCAGCAGCCGCAGAGGCTGGGGAGGAGACAGCACCAGCGGCAGCAGAGGCTGGGAGGGAGACAGCACCAGCGGCAGCAGAGGCTGGGGGGCAGACAGCAGCGGCAGCAGCCGAGGCTGGGGGGGAGACAGCAGCAGCCGAGGCTGGGGCG